ATCGAACTCAGGACCTTGTACTTGTGAGGCAGGTGTGGCCCTACTGAGCTAAATCCCCTGGGCCAGTGATTGATGTATTTAAAAGTAGAAAAATAACACTTTGTAAGTAGCGCTTTTTTTTTGTACTGGGAATCAAACTCAGGGCCTTGTGCTTGCCAGGCAGGTACAGGTACCGCAACGCTGAGCTACATCCCCGACTATAGATAGCTTTTACAAACTGACAGGAAATACTATGTTAAAATAGCATGGTGGGACCAGGGATTTGGCTCCGTGGTTTCTCACCTCTTGCCCGAAAGCAAAAAAATGGTTGCATTTCCGCTGGCTACCACCGAGCGCCGCACCGGTTGCGCCGCGGCTGCGTCTCCCTTCAGCCACCATCATGTTTGTCTGTCGGGACCTCATCAGCCAGGACGAGATGTTCTCTGACATTTACAAGATCAGGGAGCCCACGGGCTGTGCCTGGAGGTGGAGGGCGAGGCGGTCAGGTGAACAGAGGGTAACACTGATGACTCCTTCCTTGGCGGAAATGCCTCTGCTGAAGGCCGGGACTGTGTGGGTATTGTCGTGAACCATCCCCTGCGGGAAACCAGCTTCACAAAAGAGTCCTACAAGAAGTAAATCGGGGCCGGGGATTTGGCTCAGTGGTTCAACTGCCTGTCTCGCAAGGACCCGAGTTCGATCCCCAGTCCAAAAAAAAAAAAAAAAAAAGAGAGGACAGGAGTATGGGGAAAAAAATAAGAACCAAGACATAGCTCTTGTTTGCTTTAAAGGTACCAATAAACTTAATGGGGCGGGTACTGAGTTGCAGTGAAGGGGAAAAGACCATTCACGGCAGTGCCAAGTTTTGAAGTGAAGCGTTATGTATTTCACCACCTACGGTGGACGTAATTAACCCTTGGAAGAGATTACCAAAACAACAAAAAGATTAACTCAGTTGGAAAAAAAAACCAGAATGGTTAATGGCCCAAAGATGTAGCTCAGTGTCGCCTTACCTGCCTGGCAAGCGCAAGATCCAGAGTTTGATTCCCAGTATGTGTGGGTTTAAAATTTTTTTAATAAAAAAAATACAATTATTAAACCACCTCTGAACAGGATACTGTCTGTACTCGCTCACTGGGTTGAAGGAGGTGGGAGAGAAGAAATTGTGAAAGATGCTTGTGTTTCGTTAAGTGAGTGGTACAAAATTTCAGTTTATCTGTTGCTCTTATGTTACATGTATTTCACTTAACTTTGTTATACTGTATATACAGTGTATATCCCGGACGTGTGAGTCCTAATTTATTTTATTTTTTGGTTTTGTGAGACGTTTTCACTATGTAGTTGAGACTGACCTGGAACTCACTATGTAGCCCAGGCTGGTCTCGAACTCACAGTGATCCTCCTGCCTCAGCCTCCCCAGTGCTGGGATTACAGGTGTGTGCCACCCCACCCAGCTCCTATTTTGATATTTTTGAATAGCTGTATGAGAAGATGGAGACGTTTGATTTGTGCGTTTGGAAGTGTCACACAGCTCTCCCGTGGCTGGTGTGGTTTGGGGAGGGCTCTGGGGAGGAGGGTGACTTCCTACCCACTGTCCTGAGCTGCCCCCGGCCCTGCAGTGCACATCCTACACTTGTTTGCCCTCCTGTTCTTTCCTAGGAAGGGAGTGGGGAAAGGGGGCTGAATTGGATGAGTAACCTTGTTTTGGAGGAGGGAAGAATCTGAGCCATCCTAAGCGGATCTCTCCTCCTCCACCCTATCGGAATCATCCTGGAAACGCTGCCCCTGGCCGGACCTGCCCACTGGCCTCCCCATCCTGCCTTCTTTACCCACTGGCTGCAGGGATGTAGAAGCCACCTTACGGGCTACTCAGTGGAGAAGGGGCCCCTCAGCCCCAAACAATCTGCTCAGTGTTTAAGTCTCTGCAGGATGTTTGCAAGAATCGCCAGCTTCTAGGTTAAAAATATCCCACGCCTGAGGGGCCCTCCGTGTCTGTCTCAGAACAGCTCCAAGATTTCTCCGTTACTGGGGAAATTAACCCTGAGGCCAGTTGATTATTTTTTCCATGGCTTTTTTCTTGTCTTTTTTTTTTTAGTACTGAGTATTGAACCCAGGGCCTGTGCACTGAGCCTGTGCACTGAGCTATAGTCTCAGTTCTTCCTTTGTTCTTTATTTTGAGACAGGGTCTCATTAAGTCTCTGGATTGAGCTCACCACCTTCCTGCCTCAGCCTCTGAGAATTCTGGGATTACAAACCCTACTCCACCAGGCCCTGCTTTTCCAGGATGGCCAGACTTTCTGGGTTCAAATCCACACATTCAATTTCTCTGTCTTGTGTTCATGACTCTACAAAGAGTCATAAAAATAAAAAAGAGTGTCATGATCATATCTGTCTGAGAGGTCTATGGGCCTCTACCCTGACTGTTCATGAAAATCGGCTGGGGAGCTTTTAAAAATACTGCTGCCTAGAGCTAGGCATGGTGTCACATGAAGGTAATCCCCAAACTCTGGGATGCTAAATCAGTAGGATTATTGAGAATTCAGGGACAGCCTGCACTACATAATGAGACAGTATATATATATATATACATATATATATATAT